AGAGAAAAGTGCAGCAACTGTACCTCAAGAAAAGTATTGTTCCATAAGCGTGCATGAAGAACAACGGCTGTAGTGCTGTCCACTGCCTCAAGAGGGCACTTTATATCCACACATCTCAAGTCATCAGCACATGTCTGGGTGGCAACATGAAAGGTTGAAAAACATTTGCAAGAATGACAAACTTAAAGGGTTAGTTCACCCAAAAATGAAAATTAGCCCATAAATTACTCACCCTCAAGTCATCCTAGGTGTATATGACTTTCTTCTTTCAGACGAATCCAGTCGGAGTTATATTAAAAATTGTCTTTGATCTTTCAAGCTCTATCGTTGTACTCAGCGGGTGTTGCATTCCTTCGGTTCAAATGACGTGAAATAAAAAGCACCCTTCCACAAAAAAAAAAGTGTCTCACACAGCTCCGGGGGGTGAACAAAGGCCTCCTGTAGCGAATCGATGCATTTTTGTAAGAAAAATATCCATATTCAAAACGTAATAATCACTTGAATCTAGCTTGCCGCACACCCACATAACACATGCTTGACTGTGCCCATTCACATCTCAGCTCTCTGGGATGCAGTGAAGTGGGTCAGTTTGCTGGAGTGCAGATATGTCACTCTCAGCGTGCAGTTTCGCCATGGCTCTTTGGATAGAGTGGATTAAATTAATTGAATATAAGCAGATCAAGCCAGTAAGCTCAACACCCGCTGAGTACACCGATAGAGCTTGAAAGATCAAAGACAATTTTTAATATAACTCCGACTGGATTCGTCTGAAAGAAGAAAGTCCTATACACCTAGGATGCATCGGGGGTGAGTGAAACGCAGCCTAATTTTCATTTTTGGCTGAACTAACCCTTTAAGTACATTAAAACCTTTGATATACATTTAAAGACACTAGTGTAACTACTGATAGTATGAAAAGAAAATAAAGTATTGGTCAAAGAAATTGTATAAAATCCTTGTTCTGTGAAATTACCAGGGTTTTATACTTTCTTTTCTTGCCCAAAAAGGGGAAAAAATCTGAAGAGGAACAAGAGCCTTCAGGCCTGGTTCACGCTCTACTTCACGCCGTCCTCTGGATGATGCCTAAAGAGTGAGCATAGGAAACATTAGTGACCTCTCCAACAATGCCAGAAGTCACACTGTGTCTGAGTCTTAGGGATTTATCATATATCAAATACAGAGAGCTGCAAATTATAACCAGTGACAGCTGAAGTTAAATGATCATTATTTAACTTTAAATTATATCCCATGAAGGAACTACCTCGATAAATCGGAGTGGGTTGATGGCCCCTGCTGGTGTGCAGTGAATAATATTTTTTCCTTGATCCTTGATCTGCACAAGGTACAGGAGCCGTTTTCCCTCCTTGGTTGCTTTTGGCCACTGAATGTTCAGCACAACAGAACCGAAGGACTTCGGAGGCCGACCAAGGTTAATGATCTGACACAGAAGAACATTTGCACAAAATCAACAGGTTTTAATTGTACTGGACTCGCTTTGTAAATAAAATATACTGCCAAATGTGACCCTGGACCAGTCTTAAGTGTCAATTTTTCGAAATTGAGATTTATACATCATCTGAAATCCGAATAAATAAGCTTTCCATTGATGTATGGTTTGTTAGGATAGGACAATATTTGGCCGAGATACAACTATTTGAAAATCTGGAATCTGAAGGTGCAAAAAAAAAAAATCAAAACATTGAGAAAATTGCCTTTAAAGTTGTCCAAATGAAATCCTTAGCAATGCATATTACTAATCAAAAATTAAGTTTTGATATATTTACAGTAGGATCTTTACCAAATATCCCAATGATTTTTGGCATAAAAGAAAAATCAATCATTCTGACCCATACAGTGTATTGTTGGCTATTGCTACAAATATAGCGGTGCTACTTATGACTGGTTTTGTGGTCCAGGGTCACATATGTGTTATACATCATCTGAAAGCTGAATAAATAAGCTTGCATTGATGTATTGTTTGTTAGGATCTGACAATATTTGGTCGAGATGCAACTATTTGAAAATCTGGAATCTGAGGGTGCAAAAAAAAAAATCTAAATATTGAGTAAATCGCCTTTAAAGTTGTCCAAATGAAGTCCTTAGCAATGCATATTACTAATCAAAAATGAAGTTTTGGTATATTTACAGTAGGAAATTTACAAAATATCTTCATGGAACATGATCTTTACTTAATATCCTAATGATTTTTAGCATAAAAGAAAAATCAATAATTTTGACCCATACAATGTATTTTTGGCTATTGCTACAAATATCCCCGTGCAACTTAAGACTAGTTTTGTGGTCCAGGGTCACAATACTGTACATTCACAGACAGAAATGCACTACCTCTCTCTGTGAAAAGCTGCTGATTTATTTTGAACTGAGGTATAAATATGCTAAAACACATGCTACTATCTGCAATATATTATTTACAATCATTCATTTGGTATGTCTAGTTAATGATAATGAATAATGAAGCATAGTAATTCATTACTGTAGCTTTAAGGAGACTGAAACACCAACCCTGAACTCATATTGGACCAAAGAGTCAATATCATCTTCTGATTTCATTGCTTTCTCATCTTTACTTCTCCTCCAAAGAATAATTGGGAAGGTTTAGCAAGACTACAAAGACAAAATACATCAGAAAAAACAAGCATTCTCTTATTAAGAGAACAGCAGTATTTTAAATACTTTATATCAGTGTTTCTCAACTGGTGGGTCGCAAGACCGTTCTGGGTGGGTCGCGGAGTGTACAGTCAAAGAAACAACATCAACAACAAAAAATTCAAAATGTTTTTTCTGATGCAAGACTTTTATTTTGAAAGATGTGCATGAAAGCTGTTGACACTTTTTTTTTGCAGTTTAAAGGAATAGTTCACCCAAAAATGCTAAATGGCCCATGATTTACTCACCCTCAAGGCAACCTAGGTGTATATGACTTTCTTCTTTCAGACGGATCCATTCAGAGTTATATTAAAAATGGTCCTGGCTCTTCCAAGCTTTATAAAGGCAGTGGGCGGGTGTTTCTGTTCAACAGTTCAAAAGAAGTCCAATAAAGCGCATCCATCATTAAAAAGTGCCTCACACGGCTCCGGGGGGGGAATAAAGACCTCCTGTAGCGAATCCATGTGTTTTAGTAAGAAACATATCCATATTTAAAACGTTATAACCACTTTTCTGTAGCTTGCGCTAACTGT